CTTAGAAGATTTTGGCATATGAGCCTTATTTGAATGAACAGTTTTTGAAACACCCTCATTAAGAGGTACAGATTTAGGTAGCAGCTCCATCCGTGGAGATTCAACAATGAGCTTTTTCTGAGCCGAGGTTGATGTTCTGAGTACATTACACTTTCTTGAATTAGCACGAGGCAGAGGGCTAGATCCTCCTCGTTTTATGTTTGTTGTTTTCTGTTGTTGTTTACCCTTGATGTTGAGAGAGACAGTTCTCGTCGGTTCTTGACGTTTTCCAAGACGAGCTGCTATAGGTAGATGCGAAGATGATGCTCTCTGTTTCACTGGAATATCCAGTATAGTTGCTTTAGAGGATGGGGATGACTCTGCCCCACGTACCCTGCCTACAACTTCAGTCATAGGGTGCCCTGATTGAGAACCGTTTTGATGATTTATATGCTCTTGTTGTCTCTCCACTTCTTGGTTCACTTCGGGAGGTGATACTCTCTGTTCTCTACGCAGTAAAACAATAGGAGGAGTATTTGCAGTTTCTAGAAGAGAGAGTCTTTCCAGTGCTGGGCGTTTTGACCTTGTGTTCGTGGAACCCTCTTGTTCATGTTCATCACCATTAAGACCAGAAAGACGTTCCAACACAGGTCTCTTAGCGCCACCTCTAGAATGATTTGAAACCTCATGGTGAGTGTCATTATGATGGACTTGGTTTGAAAGTGAACCTCCAGAGATTTGTCTAGAATGGTTTTTGGTAGGGTCTTCAGGTCTAGGAGTCTCCAGAATGGAGCAGTTTTTATCCTCATGTCGAGGTACATGGTTACTCTGATGTGGGGATATGCGTTCCCTTTGCATCGTTTCACCGTTTTTCCTGTTGTTGCTCTGCCTCTCAAACTCCTTAGAGTGAGTGATACGATGGTCTCCCACAATCATGTACTCTTCCTCTGAGCATGATGAGAGGGTTCACGATTGTATTCTTGGCATTTGTGATTTCGATGGAGACTATGTTCACGCTGGGAGTTGGAGCTATGATTGTTCATATGTGACAACCTCGAGGTTTCTTTGTCATCACGGTACCATGAGGGTCATGACTTCATAGGGGAGGGACTTCTAGTCTCCCTATGATGGTGATGTCGCTGGGCTCTCGGGTCTTCTTCTTCTCTCTGTCTGGTATCTTTGATGTATCCTCTTCTTCTCTTATCCTCCTCCAGTCGGGTAATAGTCTTTTGCTGGTTTATTCCCAAGTTGGTAGAGGTAGGCTTATGAGAGAGAGCCATTTTTGGACAATCTTTTTCTTCGTGTGTTAGTGCAAAGCACTTAAAACAATATTTTTCCAGCTTCTCATATTCAAATTCCACGGGTGCTTCCTCACCAGGTCTAAATTGAACAGTTTTCCGTATAACCAACGGTTTGAAAGCATCCACTTCAACTTAGACTCTGCCCTCCGTTCTTTCCTGGCTCAGATATTTACCGATTGAACTTCCCACAGCTTTTAGATTGTTATGGGTCCAGAAGTGAGTCGGTAGGTCATTAATCTTAATCCAAAAAGGAATAGCATTGGGGAAGGATGTAGAGGTCGATGGCTCCCATCTTTGAAGGACCAGCATCCATCGCTTATAGTGAAAGGGAGCACGTCGGAGCACTGCGTTCAGATCTTCTTCAGAAAGGAATCGGAACTGGAATCGTTCCCTGCCGAGGACTCTTCCTTCGACTTGACGTACCAAACCCCAAATCTGGGGTAGGAAGTTGATGACGGCCGCTGGACTTTGAGTCGCAGCATGAAGAACACGACCAATTAGAGTTAGTCGGTTCTCTTCTATGAGCTCTTCGTTCTCGACATCGGGGAGGAGGATAGGTTCCTCCCGAATCCATTGGCTCGACCTGCTATGCCTTTCCCTTTCCCCGCTCGCGTGTATCGGTGTGATGTCATGGTTGAGGCGATTGTGTGAGATGACTTGTAGATAAGGAGCAAAACAGCAAAACTGTACGTCGCAGTAGTAGAAGAATAAAAAACACGAAAGAAAACGAAACGAAATACAAGTACGAGTACGCTAGAGAAGGATTTAGAGCGCTGAGAAAATCTATCTAGAGATCTTGCTTGAATTGGTGCAAAACCCTAGAAAATCGCCCTCAGAGCTAAACCCTAGCCGCATCGTGTTTGCTCTTATAGATCTGAGGTTCTCTATTTGTAGAAATAATATCTTAAGTAGCTTTGAAACATAATAAATCAATTAATGTTATTATGTTATCAACGATATATGTCAACGCGTAAGCTAATTGCCTTCTTTGAATCCTTTGACAAAAGGAACTCTAATTAAATTCTAGTCTTGAATTTTTGAGTCGTAGATAGGAACAAACCGACAACAACATAAAATCATAGATTAAATATTCGGTTCCTAGGTTGATATCAATTCATATTTCATAAAGCGCGCATGTTTATCATTTACTCTCAGTTTATCTTAATATAAATTTTAAGTTCAAAAATGTAATTTTTTAAAAACTTACATAAGAAAAAAACAGAATAATGATACTGGTTATAAAATTCAGTAGTACAAAAAATTAGCAAAATGTACAGATTTATAGAGAGCTGTATTTTCTTCCGGGTGCCGCCACAATGGTTTATTCCAAAACCATAATAAATAATCCCTCTTCTATATATGTATCTCTATAATCAAATCAATGGAATAGCTGGAGAATTAGTCGTTTTCTTTCAAAAAGACAAATTACGTACTATATATTAGTAGTTCAAAACGTTTTATAATGTCAAATTTGGATGAAAAAACTACCTAAATCATAGAACAATCGACCCAAAAATGTATTATCGAGCAGTAGTATGCATGCAAAGAGTTCTTTAGAAGACACCACCAATTCAAGTGATTTTGATTCTTGAAACTCTAGATGATTGTGCTTTTATGGTTGAATTTTGTTTCTCAGTTAACATTTTAACTGCTAAAAATTATTGCAGATTTTGGATTCTAGTCTGGTTACCCTGCTGTTATGTGTACGTACGTACTATATAGAGATGGGCATAAAAGATTAGTTTTTCCTGTCATGGTCAAAGTTTTGGAGGTTTTTGATGATTGCAAGGAGGTGGTAAATTTAGTTCTTTTGAATGCAGCCAATGGGATTCAGGATTCCTTCTAGTTGTGTTTCTTTTGCATAACGTCTTTTTCTCCAATTTTTGGTTACACAAACTCACGTTTAAATGTTTTTATATATAGAGGGCTATAAATTAGTTAGAAGTAACACGAACTAGTTGATAAAGAATTTTTTTTCTCTAGCTAGTCTATTTGTTTTATAGCTTATGCAACTCTCTCGCAAAATGGTACTTAATTACGAGTAACAAAATTTCAACTTATGAAATAAGATTTCTAAGCATACATTCATACACTGACCAAAAACCATAATTAAATCTTGATGATTTAAACGGACAAAATTCGTTGTTTCTGAATTCTTTATATGCAACCACCATCGTTAATTATTAAATCCAAAGTATTAAGAAAAATAACATAGGTAACATGTAGGTTGCACCACTATAAAATCCAAAGTACTAAGAAAAGGAAAAAAACGAAAGTAAATTGTCGGATTCACGTGGGGAAGAAGAACGTAAACTAAGAACGTAAAAAAAAAAAGAAGAACGTAAACTAAAAATTACCACATGAAATGAAATTTTTAAGGTGAAGACAAACAAACAATAATTGGAAAAAAAATAGAAAATGTGATTCATGTGATGGATCAAATTAGGTATATTCTCTCTATAGCACTTTAGTGTTCACACTTCACACCTAGTTCGCTGTCTTGGCCACGCAGAATATCGCTCTTATCTAAAAGATTATTAGCCCACATAACAGAGACATTACACAGTACGAATGTTTTTGTAAATCAGTGGTACATACTCAAATGAAATCTTGGAGAATGATTCATAAAAATCTATGATAATTTTTTTATCAAGAAAAATCCATGATATCCAATCCCTAAATTACCAAAAAAACCAAAATTCTAAGAACTTTAGTGTAGACCATTCAGTCACTGTATTACCAAACTATTGGCTCTTTAATTGGACTACTTATACCAAATAATTGGCTTCATTGGACTACTTCTGACATGTTCGATCGGTTCTTCATATTATTAATGCCAAAGTCGTTTTTTTTTGAAAATTAAGTAGTCACTTTTTTTTTAATAGGATAATATTCATGTGAATGTAAATATTGTATAAATTTATTTTAATGCATGGTACAACACTTTTTTTTTTTTTGAACCTTAGCATGTTACAACACTTTAGAATTGAATATAAACGACATTATATATATCTCGTTTGGTAAAGAACAGTTTACCAACACACTTTTTTTTTTTTTTTGCTAAATCACACACACAGGGCCGGTTCTAACATGGTGCAAATCTTGCACCATGTTTAACTATTTTTTTTTGATTTTTTACATGGGTTTTATTCCACATTTTTAAAATATAAATGTTTTAAGAAAAAATTATTAAAGTTTAAAGTGTTTTTTGCAATTTTTGCAATTTTTGCACTATATTTGTTTTGAGATTGGGTCGGGCCTGCACACACATATATTGAAAAGTTAGTTTGTGGACTGCAAAACTAACTACCAAAATAACATATATCTTCAATTCTACAAAAGAACATAGTTTTGATAAATATCTGCAGATAATTTCAGTGATGATACAAACTATCACTCGCCGAAATCACAATATTGCATTTTATTTTAAATGTGTATTTTGTTGGTACGTATGACACTAGCATGTTGAATACCATCCGTTGTTTACACATTATTTTAATACATTATGATGACATTAACATAATACATTCATCGACATTGAAAAGTTAGTTTGTGGAAAGAAAAACTAACTAACAAAATAATATCTTCAATTCCACAAAAGAACATAATATTAATAAATACTATATATTGAGAACTTTAATGAGTTTCTCAAAAAAAAAAAAAAGAACTTTAATGATGATACAACTATCATTCGCCAAAATTTTAGATGAATTTTTTTATCTGGTTGTTGGTTGATATTTGGAATAATTTTCTATGCGAAATCGAGTGTCAAACTCTAAAATATACCACAGATTGTTTGTTGATTATGGATTCAAACTTTTAAATAACTTGTACTATAACGTCCGAATCTTTTTATATATATGGGTACTCATGTCTCTCCCAATATTAGTATGTACATTTTTGTTTTTTGTTAAACAGCCTGTTCACTACTCTATTATATTCGTGAAAGTTGTCAAATCCAGTACACATATAACTATACTAATTTTTCAGTGTTTTGTTTTCACTTACATTGTAGCGAATTTTTTTTAGTTGACGTTTACTAGTTTAAAATATTAATGCGGACACAAATCCAAAAAAGTGAAAAAAATAACTGACATACCATTTTTTTAATTTAATTTTGTAATTTTTAAATGAAATTGTTTAACAGTGTAAAGATAAATATGAAAATTAGTTTATTATGATTTATGAGTTTGCATATAGATTTATTTTGCGTTTATTTTTATTTCCATGTTTGTGCTCAAATTTTTCTACGAATAAAAATTTTACACTTTTTTTTTGAATGAATAACAATGAAACTGTTCAAGGAAAATAAAATATTAAACAAACATTAGTGTCATGTCCATTTCCCGAGACAGCCGTACGAAGAACCGAAGATGAACTTCTTCCACAGCGGTCCTTCTCCAACCAGATCTTCGACTAGCTGACGCTGCTCTCTCTCTCGGGTTTACCGTAGTTTATCGAGATCTAGTTCGCAGCCTCAAGGCTTTTGTGCTGGTGAAAGACCATCTTCTCCGATCAACCACCTCACCCCTTCGTATTCAAGCTTCAACTCTTATTGGACCTGGCCCATATTGCCTTTGGTGTTTCGAATAAATCTATTTTGCCGAGTTTGTTGTTGTCTATTGTCGTGACACC